ACATCAATCCACTGATGAAGAACAAATTAAAATATACCAAGCAAGAAAAGCTTGTGTTTTCCAGTCTAGCCTGTAGGGGCACCATGCCCTGATTTAATCATCTCATTTACATCATGATTTCTTCCTTTTGCTCTAGCTGCTTTACATTTAAGAGCAAGTTTCAGAATCTCTTCTGACATCCACTCTGGTCTTCTTTCCTGTCTTTTTAATGGCCTTTCCCTTCTTCATGTATGATATATTTTATGTCATTCCCTAACTTGTCTTTTCTTTGTTCATTAGTGTTCAATGGGTCAAATCTGTTCTTTGGGTGGGGTATGATCAAGGTTGGATTTTGGCTCCCATGGGCTTGTTTTAATTTTTTTCTTCTTTAAATTTGCATATGAGCAGTGGATAGTCTGTTTCACTACGCTCTGACCTTGTTTGGGCTGATATTGAGTTCTAAATAATTTTCCTTCAGAGATGTAGTCAATAGGATTCATGTGTATTCTATCTAGTGAAGTCCACACTTGTAGTAAACCATTTAGGTACTTGGAAAAGGGCATTTGCAATGAAGATGTCATTGATCTTCTGAAATTCTATCATGTAATCTTCAGCTTCATTTCTATCATCATGGTGGTACTTTTCCAACTGCTGGTCCTTTTATATTTCCGATTTTCACATTCCAATCATTGGTAATTATGGATGATTATCTGTTTGATCAATTCAGACTGAAAAGGATGGTAGAAATCTTCAATTTATTTATCTTTGAATTTGGTGGTTAGATAAAAATTGTATTAATTTGTCTTTCTTGTAGACATATAGATATTATCCTATCATAGGGAGCAATGCATTTCAAGGAAGATCTTGATATAGTTTTTTTTTATGATATACTTATTCCTCTCATATTTGTCAGTCCTGGCATAGAAAGCACATGTTTGTTCAATTCAAAATGGTTAATACCAATTCATTTCAGCTCACTAATGCATTGGATATAAATCTCTATGTGTCCCATTTAATTTTTACAATTTCTAGTTTTTCTAGATTCATAATTTATGCAACCCATGTCACAATTATTAGTGTTTACAGATGTTTCATTGCATCCCAAATTATGTCCAATCAACCAACCATGGACCCCAAACCACTGCTCCATCCATGTCACTAAGGGTGACAATACTTGGAAGAGGCAATGCTTCACAAGTTGTATTACGAGTACTTGCCAACTTTAGGGTCTCAACTTCCAGCACTATATCAGACATTTGATAAGTTGCTATTCATAAGGTTTTCAGTGACTAATACCTCAAAAGTGGACCATCTATTTTCCCCTTTTAGTCTTCTCTTAGTCTGTGAACTCCACTGAATCTTGCTCACCATCACTGACCCCGATGGCATCTCAAATGCTGGTGTGATAGCTTTCAGCATTATAACAATACATAAACCACCACGGTACAACAAGCAAACAGACAAATGGTGGAGGAAAGACATGATATAATGATTAAAAGGGCAGTACATAAAGAGGATTTAACCATGACAATTGTACATGCATCTAATAACAGGGCTCCAAATTGTATTAAAGACACAGAAAATTTTAATAGTATCCAACCAGTTCAAGCTTATAAACATATTCAAATCTCTCTGCCCAACAGCAGAAAAAAGGAGGTTACATTCTTTTCCAATGTACATGGATCATTCTCCAGAATAGATTACATTTTAGGACAGGAAGCAAGTCTCAATAAAATTCAAAACATCGAAGTAATACAAAGCATTTTTAAACTCTGATCACAATGATAGAAAAATAGAAGCCAAAAATTGAATAAGAAAAGGGAGAAATAAAGATAAGGGAACTGAATAACAGGTTTCTTAGAAAGTATTGGATGATAGAAAAATCTATAGCTATAACTTAAAAAAAAAAAGACCCAAACAAGAATGAAAACAAAACAGGTGGGAGGAGTCAAGGTGGCGTCCAGGTAGAAGCACCCACCCAATTCACCTGTTGTTAGGTCAGAAAATTAAGGGGTAAGGAACCCAATATTGGGAAGCTGGGTGATAAAAAATAGATTCAGTATAGTAGGGTCTGTGGTTCAGAGACCCCTTGAGATTTTTGCCCACGGAGTGATTCAAGAACTTGCTGAAATGCTCTAATTTCACTGCATTGCCCGGTCTAGTGGGATGGCATTTGCCACCCATTCCTGAACCCAAGATCCGAGCTCATACCCGGAGTTTGACTCTCTGATATCCTCCCTGCTCCTGCATTCTTGGCTTTGCACCTCCCATCCACAGACAGGAATGGAATGATTACATCAGCTATCCTCTTCCCCCCCTCTCCCCAGCTCTGTGCCTACCAGTGTGGCTAATGATAGCTAATCAGACACTGATTTTCAGCAATTGAAGAGCCTCTG